ACAATCTTTTAATTACCACAAGCTGGTGGTGTGCTATTCCCACCCAAATAGGGTATTCTATTTATTTATTTCTTATATTTATTTTGGTCACTTTTCTGGTCACTTTAGTTTATTCTTTGTCAGTATTTAATAACATAACTCAGGTCTCTTAAGTTATTTTTCTTTAAAACAATTGTTATGTTTAAAAAAGTTGGTTAAATAAATATTTAATTGGAGGTCTGTGTTTGTGTTCTTTACTAAAATTAAATCATTTAGCAATATAAAAAGTCCAGGCAGACCTGCACTTAAAATATGGTTTCAAATCTTTTCAAGATTTATCGATATCGATCAATATGCATATTTTTTTTTATCGATAAGCTTTTTTTCTATATTGCCCAGCCCTAACTAAAATTACGTCTTTCCATATCACATAATTATAAACAGACACATTTCAAGTATGATCCATATTGAATTCTCCTTAGTTTGTGGGAGACCTATACACCTACTTCCCCTTTTCATTAGTACCTAGTAAGTTTGAAAGGACTCTTTGATTAATAAGGTTTTCCATCAGGCACTGGCAGAAAGGATGTTATTTCTTTGCTCCTCTGCTCTGGAACCACCTCCCAGAAAACCTGTGCAAATAACTTCAAGTGAATCATATCTCACCTTTGTTTTGTTTTGAATAAAAAAGTCAACATTTCCGTCATCTGATACATACGTTGTTATTATTGTTTTTACCTTTATTCCAATGTAAGATTATTGTAAAGTAATGTTCTTCCCTAAATTTAAATGTGTTTTGCAAAGTAGGAAGTGAATATTTGATGTTATTATTTACCCATGAAATGAAACGGTTAACCAAACTAACCAACAAATTATAAAACAATGCTTTGTTTATATTTTTCACATTTGTAATAATCGTGAATCGTTAGTTTGGCTAACCGTATCATTTCCACTTTAAAGAATATTTTTATATATCAACACATGGTAAATTGTATACATTAAATGATGTTGTTTGTCCATTCTAAAAGTGATAAAATGAATAAAAATTCACAAGACCAAATATATATGAACGATTGCCCGCTTTATGAAAAAAAGTTTCTTAAACACCACATAATTCACTCCCTTAAAAAATGTTTTAAATTGAACTTCTGAGAATTTTAAAGTTAAATGCCTTTTTAAGTGTCTGGGTGCTTTTACCTAACCTGACAACAGCCAGATGCATCTCTCGCTCCGCCTAGCTCGAGACATGCATCTGGCTGTTGTCAGGTTAGCTTTTACCAAGGCAGCAGGTTAAAATAATCTTGGGGAAAAAATCCTGGTTAGAAAAATCTTGGTAGATTCTCCACAAGATGGTGCGGTCGAGCTGAAAATATGCACGTGAATTTTCTATGAAATGACACCGCTGTTAACATTTTTTTCCTTTTCTCCCAATACTCACACTCTCACCTGTCCTTATGGTTCCACAAATTCATGTCTTTTACCTCCCCTTTCCTTTCCTTTCCCCATTTTAAATACAAACTACAAATTTCAATCTACTTGGACGGGATTTAGGCCTTTTTGATCAAATTTCATGAAAACAATGATTAATTAATCTGGCTTCCGTGTGTTTTATCTGCATTTGAATATATCTATGGATCTCACGGGAACTTCATAGGCCCTTTAGGGATTTCTGTATAAACGTAAATTAACTATGTAATGCAGATAACAAAACACTGATGGGTATTAAAGGAATTAATGTAACCAGACCAGACTATATTCCTTCAGTTTTTCACAGGCTTGTCTAAATGTTGTACAGCAAACTTTAAAAGAGCTTCAACGTGCTTTTTCTTCAGCAATTGAGTCTTGGTGAGCATGCATACAGGCCATGGCAAATGAGTGCATTACTTATTGTTTTCTTTACTATTGTACCTGCAGATTCCAGGTGTTTCTGAAACTTGTGGAGGCAAGAGGTCTTTGGCTCTAGGACAACTCTTCCAATAATTATTTTCACTCTATCAGAAATCTTGTGAGGAGCACCTGGTCATGGTCGGTTTGTGGTGAAATTATGTTCTTTCTACTTCCAAATTATGGCCCCAGCAGTGTTCACTGGAACACTAACCAATGCCATCATTGTTTGCAACAATAAAGTTGCAAAGGTTTTGAGAAAGATCTTTATTTTTACCCATAATGAGATGTTTCTTGTGTGATACCAGAGAAAACTTTTTATAAGCCATCATTTGGGCCTGAACCAGCCCCAAAATTGCACGGGTAGGGGGCAGGATTGCTTTCTAATTACTGAGAGATTTAGGCCTTGCCTTTTTGCACCTCACTTCTTCAAGTGTTCAATACTTTTTCCCTGTGCCATTCCACACGATTACACATAAATTAATTTCTGGATGTCTAAGGTTAGGTTTCTTTGTGTGTTGAAGTTACAATTCTGACAGAATGTTCCAGAGAAAACAAAAAGCAGGCCTGGCCTATTGACAGGGTGGACCTAAGCATCCATGGGTCCCTCCATGTTTTCCAATTACATGTGGATTGCAACTATTTACAGTCAGATTATCAGAACGTTCACAAACCTACAATAAACTCTATTGATTCTGCTCTGGTAGGGCTGTTTACATCATCATATACAGCAGCCACCCTCTGGTGGACCCCAGTCTGAGTCGTGAATAATGGAAGGCTCTGTACGGAACCACGCACATCTGAGAAACTTGTTAAGAGGGACAAAACTTTAAGTATTTGTAAAGTTAGGCAGGCTGGAATGCACACTGTGTTCTTTGGAGGTTACCTCTAATCCAGTTGCTATACTATTAGCTGCACTTAGTAGAGCCAATCAAATCTTTTGGTTAAGGTCTGAGCTCACAACAGCACAGCAGGAGACATAGAGGCAACAGCATGGTTTGTTCCATAAGAAGCAAAGTTAATCCAGAAAACCTGGCTTAAGGATAAATGGACAGATAAATGCATGCTGATTTCTCCAGCAGGCAGTTCAAAACATGTGTCTCTCATATTCTCTGAATGATCACATCAAATAAAAGTAACACAGAACAGGCATGTTATCTTGACTGCAAGGCCAGTATGACAAATCTACTAGATTCTTCAAGGATACCTTTACAGCCTAGCAACATGTAATTTAATTTCCACTCATGGTGGCCTGGATTTTAGGGCAACATAAAGAGAGGTAACAGGAAAGCCATCAGGTTAAATGCTGTAACCAAGGCATTATTGGATGGAAAACAAAAAGACCATAAAATACTTATGCCAGCTTCATCTGAAGCCAAAAGATCAGGAATATTAGCAGCTTGGTGTTGATATTTAAAGTGCACCATGCCTGTTGCTTTCCGGTGTTCAGTCTGCAGGTGTTGTTCATAATTGGGGTTGTGTCATTGTCCCTGTGTCGGAATAGTCCTGGCACTAATGGTTGTTTTTTCTGCCCCTGCTCACCTGTCTAATTGGCTCCGTGGCTGATTATCGCTGATCTGTTTCACCTGGTTACCACATCTATTTATGTAGTTTGCTTGGCTGCCATCAGTGCCATATTATTTTAGCTTTTTCGGTGAGAGTAACTGTAGCGTTAATGTGTTTTAACTTTTTTGATTCTCACCTGTTTTCTGCCTTTGGATTTTTGTTCTTTTGCCTTTTCCCTGTCTGCTCTGTTCAGTCGATTTTTGGTCTGACTTCCTGCAGTCTCCTGGTCACCAGACTTGGACCGTGTTACTGACCTCAACTTGCATTCTCCTTGTATACTTCTTTGGCTTTCTGATCTCCAGGTCTGTGCAACTGGCTTTGAAAGTACTTCGGCTTTAGACTATTCCTCACAGACACTCTTGCTTGCTTGGCGTCGGCTGGCGGCACTATACCCTGTGTTCAAAAGCGGTAATGACCGCAAGCGGTGGACAATCTCCCCCCCGGGTTCCTCCTCTCTCTCTGTATCGGACTGTACTCTCAACTGTACTGTACTCTCCTTTTTGTTTATATAAATAAACTTGTTTTCAAACCGTCCTGTGTGTCTGCTGAATATTGGGTCCAACATTCCGTGGTCGTTACAGCATGGGCTTCAACAATCAATTGGAACCGGTTCCAATCTTTAAATTCTCCCAGAATCATTAAAAAAATTTTTATCATGATCTCTAGTTTATATTTCCTGGTCTGCTGACCGGAAATAAAAGCTACCTAAAATCAGCAAAGAAGATTCCACAGCTGTGTGTGCACATTCAAAATAGTTAGAAAAAGAAATTGTCACGGTTTTGGTTATATTGTGCTTTACTTTGCTCTATGTTCCCTAGTTTTATTGGTTTATTCCTTTTTGTTGTAATTTCTAGATTTGTTAGTTCTCATGTTTTTCTGTTGTCCTCTGTAGCCCTCTTGTGTGTGTGTGTGTATTTCTTTCCCCTTGGCTCCCTCGTTGTCTCCTCTCACACCTGCTCCTTGTCAACTTGTTAGCCCTCCCTTTGTCTCTGTCAGCTATATATGCTCTCCCACTGCTCTCAGTCTTTGTTGGTTCCCCTGTTGTTGCTGGTCCTGTCATCGCTGCAATCGTCTCCCCTCGTCTCTCCCTGGCTCCTTCTAAGCGTTTTCCCTTGATGTCTCCATGGTTCTGGTCTGTTACATTTCAGTTGGATTTTTGGACTGCCTTTGTTAACCATTTATTCATTAAATCTACAAGTATTCACCTCAGCCTCTCTGCCTCTGCATTTGGGTCCTCCAAACCCTGACAGAAATGGCCAATTGGCTTGCTGCTACAGTGGCAATGTGATCATGCTATGGAGGGCGCATGGCCGACATAATGAAACGCCATCGGAGTCAGGATCAGAAACTGTCAAGATTCCCTCCTGCTGCACTCTTTTTTCAGAGACTTGATATGTCAATGTGTTTTAATGTTTTTTTCCCCCGTTTTCCTACATTCATGGTTCTAAAATAATGCAACAGCAATGTGCAAAAAGAAGTTTATGGTGCAACAACAGCAACAAATACAAACTTAGATAAATTTATGTAATAAAACAATTTTAACATAAACAAACATAATATATCATGAACAAGTAATATTAAGCACATACTGCAGTTTGTTAAATAGAAAGTTACCTGAAACCAGGTTAAAATGCTTTAAGAAACAAAAATTGCAAGTGAATTATTAAATAATTAGTCCTTAATTCTAAATGTATGTAACTATATGCAAAGTCTCAACTAGAAAAAATTAAATATCTTTTTCAGCACATTTAACTTCATTATATTTCTCCACTCACTCCTTAAAAGCTGGGTTTCCTGGCTTTCTGACAATAAAAAATGATGACATCTGATGGCCAACTCTGTTTGTTAACACTGCCAGTCCTCTCAGACTGTCTTCTGAAGATCTCAAAATGCTCATTTAAGCATTGGAAAAGCAGAGCTTTGAAGACACAGCAGGGACAGGAAGAACACAGGCTATGTGAAGTGCTATCCAAAGATTCATAAATCAAATTTTTGGAAAAAACAAAAACATATTTTGAAAATGGGTTGCTTTGTGCTTCAGAGAGTTCACTATCAAACTGTTCTCTTAGGCATTGGTTTCTCTGATGAGTTTATGCTGCTTTTTCATTATCAGTGCATCAAGCCAATAAAAAAATGTGGTTATTCATATAAGTAATGATTCCAACATTATGAAATATATATTTATGTAAAAAAGAAATGTTTATCATTAAACCTGTTACTTATGCTTGGGAGAGCCACATTAATTTACTGCACTATTCTCCAAGGTTTGTAATAATAGAGTAGAGAGTTGTCTCTGCAGGAGTCTGTCCTGCATCTCTAAGACTACCATTTAAGATGGAAGATCCATTTGTATTTTCAGTGGAACTGTCCTTATGGATATTGACACTGGTGTAATGCAGCTTTTCTGCTGGTAGGTTCACTGTAGAATAAAGAGTACAGACTGCATTTTCTTGTTTGTTTTGTATCTGTATCTCCTCATATTGGTGATTTTCATCATTTCTCTGGAGAATGAAACAACAATTTGAAAAAATTTAGAGCACTGATAAGATATATATGTTTGGTCTTTTGGCAAATTAGACATCTATACAGACCTCTGTGTTTTGAACATCTTCATTGTCCTCTGCTTCTTCCTCTGAAACACAACAACCTGAGATAGAGAGGATTTAAATGTTAATCTTTGTTTTACCAGGTCTCTTTGCAAATATTTTTATGATCACTTTTTATAAATCACACATCTGTATACATTACTAAACGTAAAAAAAAATCCAATCAAACTTCAAATAAATTTTATTTCTACAGATAAGTCTCTATAGGAATGGTTGGACAAAGTCTCACTCACCTTGCATGTTGAAGATTTTCCGTCGAAAAAGTATTACTACAATTATAGCAGCCACCACTATTACCACACTCACAATACAAGCAATCAAGCCTGCAAACAAATGATACAGTTATAACAACACTGAACAATACAGAGTATACTAATAATTGTTCTTACAACGAAACCATGCAACAAAATATACAAACAGGATTTGTTCAAAAAGTGTGTTTTATAGAATGATCATTATCCCATTCTTTACTTAGTTTTGAAGGGTACTCTTCTTTCACATCATTGACAGCAGCACCATCATCATCATTATCTTCAGCATCACCTTCATCACCATTATCATCTAAAGGAGATAGCAACAAATAAAAGCTTAACTTTTTGATGAGGATATTTGACAGGCCCTTCAAAAATGTTTATCTTTTATATTTGGACAATGAAATTAAAGAAAACACCCCTGGGTAAGGTAATATGAATCTTAATTGTAAAATTTTACTAAATAAAGCTACAGAAATGAATACATATTTCCACTGTGTGTAAAGGTTTCATTGGGTTATCACAGCAGAAAGTACTGAGGAAAAGAGAGCAAAGATCAATAATACGCAGAGAGGTTTGAGGCGTTTATTTGGCACCAATAAACAAAATAGATGAAGAATAAATTAGACGGATTTTTATGATGAATCTATTGAGTATTTGCATCTTATTTGATAAATCTAGTTTGGAAGCAAAGTAAGATGAAGGTAAGTCCCAAGAGTTTTAACTTTAATTATTTAATCAAAGTTTAACTGATGATAAGTCATTATTGATAATACATTGGATGGCTTAGCTCAAGTAAAACAAGTCAACAGTGATGATTTGAAGAATTTGAATTGATTCTTTTTTATTTATATCACCAACTATCTCCATTACATAAGAAATTCCTAGACTTCTACAAAACACTAAATCTGTGCTATGTCCATGGCCATGAAATGGTTTACTTCTGTGAATGAATTGAAGCAGCGAGGAGTGAAACAATAAGTATTTAAAAAAAAGGGAGGTATAAAGGGACAGAGGGTTGAAATCCCCAACCTATAGCCTCTCTAAATATTCTATTCATAGCAAAACATTGGTTTAGCACATGTGTTATCATCCTGAAAAAGAACACAACTTTTTTTACTTACAGACTCACCTGGGGTCCGTTTCATGAAGCAGGTTTACTGAAAACTATACGTTTTCTAAATCTGAAATATCGGAAACTCTGACTTACTCAACCGCTGTTTCAGTCACCATAGTAACATTCTCCCCAGAGCTAACCTGGTGGGGAGCAGGTTAGAGTGTCCTCTTTGTCCGCTTTCCTTACAGCCAATCATGTCGTTTTATTTCCTGATTTAGTACGATTGTTTTTTCATAGTTTTGTGCATTAAAAAAATGTATTAGAGACAAAATATAGACTATTTTAGAGACATTAGGTTTTAAAAACAAACATTGCATGACAGTTTGACGAGGATCTTATTAAAGAATGATCAGCACTTTTTACAGAGAATTTTATAATTATAGGGAGAGGATTCTACAACTCAGTTACATGATATGAGATTTTTTTTGTATGAACGACATGCAGATCGTTCTATTTTTATTCATTTTTTCAGCACATGAAGAACTGCTTAAATTTATGTACTTATTTATTTGTTTATTTGATAGGGACAAGTATGTTTCATGCATCATGTCACACACTACAACATTTTAGCTAAGGCTAATTCTCAATGTCTGTCCCCAGTTAGGCTTTTACACATAAATAGAATAAATAATGAAGAGGGGGGGAAAGGAATTACTTTAGGGTTAGAATTAGGATTCCCTCTATGATAACCTACTGAGTCTACTGGCACAAACTAAATGAAGCCAAGGTCCACAGGACTTAATTACTGTAGACCCGTCGCCCTGACCTCTGTGGTTATGAAGTCCTTTGAGCTCCTTGTGCTTTCACACCTGAAAGACATCACTGACCCCCTTCTGGACCCCCTACAGTTTTGAGCAGAGCAGGTCTACAGACATCTGCAGACGATGCTTTCAACTTGGCCCTTCTGTTTTGGTGAACTGCCAGGAAGCCACTCCCCTCTGCCAATCTCCTCTGCTGCTAGTTTCTGCCTGCTGGAGATGGGAACCAGCTGGTCTCAATCTCATGCAATCAAAGAGTATACTTTTGGTGTGGCTGACCTCTCACTCTTGTTTGAGGAAGTAGCACAGCATGCAAGCCAAACAGAGATGGTAGAACATGCAAAGTGCAAACTGTGCAAAAGGTTTCTTAAAAGAACTGTGAAGGACAGCCGGTAAGCTGATTTCAGTTGCTTATTCACATGGACTGACTCTGATTATCTGGTTGATTGTTTAATATTATTAAAAGAAAAAAAAAAATTTTTTTTTTTAAATACCCTTGGTGTTAGTTAAAGCATGAAAATGTTGATAAAAATGCTAATTTATTAATTGCTGTTTCATTTCACTATAAAATACTCAATGTTATTCTTTAGGATTAAATTATTTAAATAGGTGGAAATTGATTAGTTTTTTCTTTTCATGTTGATCTCTCAATGTAATTAGATGTTTCTGTCTCTTTTGAGGGTTTTCACCTGTGTGATTGGAGGAAAATTATAACCATCAAAATAAAGTTGACTTAAATGAAGACTCCTTGAGTGGACACCAGTTATGTTTCACAGAAGAGACTTCCCTTTCAAGTGGGGATTGCACATTTAAAAATCAAATCTAAACAGAGAACTTGACTACATCCTCCAGCACCTGGACTTTACAGGTATCTACAATTCTATAGGCATCTACACTGTTAGTGGATTTCAGCTCTGCATTTAATACAATCATCCCAGCTCTGCTTCAGGAGAAGCTCCCCCAGCTAAGTGTGCCTGACTCCATCTGCGGGTGGATTACAGACTTCCTGTCTGACAGGAAGCAGCACCAGAAGCTGGGAAAACATGTCTCTTAGCTCGTCAGCACTGGTTCCCCACAGGGCTGTGTTCTTTCTCCTCTGCTCTTCTCCCTGTACACCAAACAGCTGACGCTCCAGTCATTAGTCTGAAGTTTTGCTCTTTGGACTTGCCTCTGATGGTGACGAGTCCGCCTACAGGTCAGAGGTTGACCATCTGGTGACCTGGTGCAGGGAGAACAATCTGGAGCTCAACCATATTGTATATAGTATATTGTATGTTTTATATTTAATTCTGTGTGTGTGTGTGTGTGTGTGTGTGTGTGTGTGTGTGTGTGTGTGTGTGTGTGTGTGTGTGTGTGTGTGTGTGTGTGTGTGTGTGTGTGTGTGTGTATATGTGTGTATATATATGTATATATATATATAAAAAAAAAATAAAACTTGTCTGCACCATCAACACAAAGTCAAATTCCTTGTAAGTGCAAACTTATTTAGCAATAAATCTGATTCTGAATCTTCTGCTTCACCATCTTCCTCTCCTTTGCAGCTGTAGCGCTGTTTCTGTCTTTTAAATACATTCTGCATATTTTTAAAATTTTTTCATTAAAATCTCTAGCTCCACTGGTTGGTAATAGGCACTTCCTGTTGCCTGTTGGAGACTTGTCGAATCGGGTCTCCACTGATTATGACTTTTCAAACTTTTTAAGCACATGTTAAACTCTAAGTTGATCTACTTAGAGTTGATTAAAGTAATTCATAGCAGCCGTTGTGAAACCGAAAACTCTGATTTCCTTAGGCTAGATCAATTTAGAGTTATTGATTTGAACCTGAGTTTGTTAAACCTGCTTCGTGAAATGGACCCCATGTAAATATCAAGTCAAGTCCAATACAATTTAACGAAGATGTTTGTTTCAAATTATGTTGCTTTGATTTAGATTTAAAAAAAGACCTAGAAAATCGTACAATATCTGTAAAATGCCTTTGCGGCATCACAGAACTCAACCTTTTCTCATGTATGCTGACATATATATATATTACAACAGAAATGATGACAAAAAACTACAAAAATGGCGCAGAACATGGAGAAATAACACCTGTAAACAGGTAATGGAAGTATTTCCTTCTAAGGCACACCAGTATCTGCCTGAATCCTCCTGAGTTAGCATGGAGATGTTCACTTCATACACCCCTTGCTCTCCTTCATCAGTAAGGGAAAACCTTGACAGTCTTGTCTGCATTGACCTCCTTGATGAAATTATATTTGAGCAGCTGAAGTTTCCATCATGTCTGCAGAATTTTCTGATGCTGCTTTCATCTGCTTGTGAATATTTGCAGGTAATGGAAACTGTCTCTCCAATATATGCTGTTTTCTTCACTGTTGCATTGTTGCCTGCCCATAAAAAAAAAAAAGCACAATCATAATTTATCTTAATGATGCACCATGCATCAATAATTTCTATTTATACAGCATGTTTAAAACATATATAAAACATTCTGTTTAAATCTGTTTAGATGCCTTAAATATTTATATGAAGTAGTTTTACTAATTGTTAAGGTATGGGGAGAAGCAGAAAAAAAGAGTGTTTTACTGACTAAGAGCCATCATTCTTTAGTAAACTTTTTCCTTTTCACTTCTGACAAGAGCATAGTACAGTTTTATTTTAGGTTTTTTAAATTTGGAGATATGTTTTTTGGCCATTATACTTACAGGCAGTGTTGAATGTTACTCCATGATTGCTTGCAACTACAGGAAAACTTCCACTGGTTGTGATAAGAAATGCAATACAACTGGTTAACTTTCATGTGCTTTAGCTAATGTTTTTAAGCCCAAATTTCGACGGAGTATTAGGGCCAGGCTAGAGACTTTTTGTTCTTCTATTTCGAGAATAAAGTCGTGACATTACAAGAATAAAGTTGCAATGAGAATAGTCATAAAATTACAATGAAAACGTCGCAATGAGAATAGCCATAAAATTTAAAGAATGAAGTTGTAACATTATGAGAATAAAGTAATAACATTACCGGAATAAAGTCAGAAAATTACAAGAATAAAGTCACGAAATTATGAGAATAAGTCGTAATATTACGAGAATAGTGGTATTATTACGAGAAAAAGTCACAACAAGAATAATCATAAGATTACGAGAATGAAGTTGTAATATTATGAAAATAAAGCCCTAAAATTACGAGAAACGAGTTGTATTTTATGGAAACTCTTACAAGAACCTCTTTCTTCCCTAAAATGAGGAATGTTGAGCATTATGTGAAGTTATACTTTGGCTCTAGTTTGATAAATATCAAATCCTTTTAGCACACCAGCATCAAATTGGGCAGGATGTCAAAGTGGACTCAAGTTGCTGTTTGGTGGAGCTGGTCGGCTGTCATATGTTTGTCCGAGCTCGAAGTTTTCTTTCTGAAATGGGTTGTTGTATGATGACTTCAGTCTCGTAATATTACAACTTTATTCTCATAATTTTATGACTTTATTCTCGTATTCCAACTTTTTTCACGTAATTTTATTACTTTATTCTCAAAATATAAAATAAATGAAAATCTCTAACCTGGCCGTAATACTCCGTTGTACCAAGTCAATGCACAATGTGAAAGAAAAAAATGTATTACCTGTCAGCCACCAGAGAGTAATAAAAAACATCCTCATTGTTAAGTTCAGATACTTTGAATGACTATTTAAACTGACACCAATGTGATACAATTTCTCTTTAGTCAGATCTCTATTTTCTTTTTGTTTCAACTTCTCCTCCCTTCTTTAAAACTCCAAGCATTTGCATGATGTTTATAGAAGAGGATGTGACTAAAAAGTGAGGACAGAAATGCAGAAGTAGAAGCAGTGGCGGCTGGTGGAGATTTCTCTAGAGGAGGCTATAAATTCAAAATAGACGTATACCGAAAACCAATCAAAAATATACTAAGTTATTAGACCACTATATTTTTTGATGAATGCCAACAACAAATAACATAATAAAAACACTACAGGCTTACTTTTTGTACATAAATGTTGCCCTTCTGAGGCTTTATGAAGGCAAATATGTGTTTTGCATTGTTCCAATATTGTGTCACAGACCTAAAAATATAATGCACCAGTTTAATGATGGCTATAAGTCAGCTTTATATTTTTTATATAAAATGTATATATGAAAACTATTTATTTTCTAAGAATGTGTTTATTTAAGAACAACTATGCAAATTAACAAACAACTAGGAAAAGTACATTATATTATTTTCCATGTGAATCCATCTAATTTTTTTAAATATCTTAATCAAGGTTATAGGGCTGGTGGGGCGGTGCCCTAGCACACTTTATTGGCCGGCCACCACTTAGTAGAAGGTGTGTCCTGACTCTTAATACAGAGTAAATATACAGCTTTGTTAAGTTACTAAACATGGTACAGCTTCACTAACAATGTCTGTTTTAAACTTCTTACCTTTGGATCAAAGCTCCCATATTACCACCTTCTTAACTGCATGTAGCAGATATAGATATGTGAATGTGTTATACCCATAGGTCATAATGGGAAAGTCACACCACAAGCTATATACAGAAACCTGTTTGCCAGTGGTCATGTGATCATGTGTTTTTTATGTCTTGAATGTAATTCACTACGGGACAAAAACTGTTTCTGATATAAAAGAAATGACTCATACTTTGCTTATAGGTAGATTAATGGTCAATTGATGATAATAAAATAAAGGTACAATTTTTGTGTATTTATAAAGTAATGATTTTGTATTTGTCTTTGAGAAAAAGTAATTTATTTCTTTAAATTAACCAGCGAAACAAAACTCAAATGTTTCAAGAAGTGAAACTGCAACACTACAGAAACCTTTTTTGGTCTCAGCACATATGCAAAATATGCTGAAGTAGAACTGGCAGGAGGTCAGATCCAAGCAGACGAAGGAAGGCAGGATACTCCAGGTCTAAGGCAGAAGGCAGAACCAGGTTCAGTCCGCAACAAGAATCCGGCTGATGTCCGAAGACAGGTCAGGCAAAAAGTTCAGACAGGGGCAGGCAGGCTCAAACTGCCTGAGAAACACTGCAGAGGTAGACAGGTGAATTAAATAAGCAATTAAGCCAGCCATCAGTGCCAAGATCATGACAGCCAATACAGCCCTACAACATCCAGAGACTTAAGCTACTCAAGACGAATCTCATCCACCCTAGGGGGCCTTGCCACCGAGAAGCTTTCTAACTACCTCAGTGACTTCAGCCTGGCTGATGGGCGGGTCCGCCTCTAAGTACCCAGCCTCTGCCTCCTCTTTGGAAGACATGACGATGGGATAGAGGAGATCCTCGAAATACAGTGTTGGTGAGGCACTGCTTTCCCCTCCTGAGGTGGCGGACAGTTTAGCAGAACACTTCTGAGGCCGACCTATACTCCTCCTCCATGGCCTCTCCAAACCCCTACAAGACCTATGTTTTTGCCTATGCAACTGCACTAGCTACATCACGCTTGGCCTGCCGGTACCTCTCAGCTGACTCCAGAGTCCCTCTGGCTAACAAGGCTAGGTAGGCCTCCCTCTTCAGCCTGACGCATCCCTTACTTCCGGGCGCCACCACCGGGTTTAGAGGCTGTTGCCATGAAAGGCACCAGATACCTTGCGGCCAGAGCTATGAATGACCACATCGACAATGGCGGAGAAGAACATGGACCATTCCGATTCCATGTCTCCAGGCTCCCTTGGGATCTGGAAGAAACTTTTCCAGAGGTGGGAGTTAAAGACCACACTAACAGAGGGATTTACCAGACATTCCCAACAGACCCTTACCACATGCTTGGGCCTGCCAGGTCTCCTCCCCTGTCAGCAGATCCAGCGCACAGCCAGGTGGTAATCAGTTGACAGCTCAGCCCCCTCTTCATCTGAGTGTCCTAGACACGTGACCAGAGATCAGATGACACAACTACAAAGTCTATCATTGACCTCTGGCCTAGGGTGTCCTGGTGCCACATGCACTTCTGGACATCCTTGTGCTCAAACATAGTTTTTGTTATGGACAAACTGTGATTAGCACAGAAGTCCAATAACAGAACACCCCTAGGGTTCAGATTGGGGAGGCCATTCCTACCAATTACCCTTGTCCATGTCTAACTGTCCTAACCTCGGAGGAGGATGCTGTCTCTGTTGCTGCAGGAACCTTGGAGGAGGACGCTGTCTCTGTTGCTGCAGGAACCTCGGAGGAGGACGCCATCTATACTGCTGCAGGAGGGCCTCTGGCGGAGGCCACCGATGCCATCTCTGATGCAGCAGCAGCCGCCTTGGAGGGTGTCATCTCAGCAATAGGAACCTGGGGACCGCCCACAGCGGCACTGGAACAACCTCGGACGGGGCCACCCACTGTGGCACTTGAACAACCTCGGTGGGGGCCGCCCACTGTGGCTCAGGAACAACCTCAGAGGGTGCAGCCCAATGCAGCACTGGAACAACCTCAGAGGGGGACATCCAGTGCGGCACTGAAACAACCTCGGAGGGGGCGAGGAGCGCCCGCTAAACGGTTCTTGGAGGCTTGGAGCGCCTGCTTATGGCACTGAAACAAAGAGAGGACTAACAAGCAAATTGGGAGCAGGTGTGAGCAGAACAAGAAAGGAGCTAGGTAAAAAGCGGAACAAGAGGTTAGCAGAGGGCAACAAATTAAAAAACCTGAAAACTGAAAAAAAAAAACAAGAAAACACAACACAATAAGACTTAAACAACTAAAACTAGAAAACATGGAACAAAGTAAGACAGAATACACAAAAGAAAACATAACAGAACCAAGACTAAGACAAACTGTCAAAATCTTTCAAAAACACGTTTTTTTTTTTTTATGAATATTAAAGCAAAAGAAAAAAAGTTCTTCAGTGAAAAATCTGAAAACAAAAAAAAATGTTTTGAGTCACCTTGCAGTGAGTTATCTTTGAAATTTTAGGTTCCATCCATATAAAGCATAGATCATTGTAAGCAGCTATTCATTGGCTATAACTCGATGTCACTCATGTACAGCTAACAGAACTAAAAGTATAGAACATGAACTGTTTAGTTTTGTGTACCTCTCACTTTTCTCTCGATAAAACAGCTGCGCCGTTTGTCAAGGTTCAGCATGCTTGGTGTCATTAGAAAGACGAGAACGATTTTTTTGTAGATATACGGACATGCTATGTCGACATTGAAATACTCACAGTATGCACATGCACTGAAAATCAAAGCCCGCCCCTGAGTCATGGGCAGGTTGGTGGAACTCAGGGAAGTACTCAAGTATTCAAGGCAAGTCATACAATAAGAAGTTTCAAAACATTTAATGACAAAGAAATAATAAGACTAAACAGAATGGAGACGCAGGCTGCTGAGGGTAATCAGACTGCAGCAGCTGCAGGGGGCGGGAAGAAACACAAATAAGTGACCACGATCATCTAACAGAAGATATTATCAGAGTGAGTCACTTACCTGCTTTAACAGTTCAGTGCATCCTCTCTGAGGAAGGCAAGATCCAGTCGATGGACTGCCAAACAAAAGACGACCCAGAGCCATCCAAAGTGTCCCTGAAGCAGCAACCCCAGTGAGCAGACAGACGTTTCAGGTCAGAGAAACAGTTCAGAAATAGACAGTTCCGAGATCCAGGAGTCCGTAACCCGAGCAGGGGTTCCAATCCGAACAGGAACAGACAGATCCAGAGTTCCAGGAATCCTCAAGGCGTTCAGGCAGGTTCTGAGTTCTATGAGTCCAGCAGCAGGAAGCAGGTATGATAATTAAAGAGGGGGGAGGCAATGGCAGGTGAATAAAGTGAGTAATTAGATCAGGTTTTGGGGCTATGGTCATGACAATACAAGCTAGCAAAATGTACAAGAAAAGGAATGGTTTTAGACATACAAGGTTTTCATCCCAAAGCAAATACTTTCTGATCTACTATGAATTATTTATTAAACAGAGATCAATAAAATCTTAATGGCTCCAAAAAAACAAAGAACAAAAACATTCTTCTTTCTACTTCCAATTTTGTTTCTATTTTGTTTCTTTCTTAAATTTTCCCCCTAGGTTACTGCTGCTCAGGGCTCAAAGTAGATTTAAATTAACAGGGTTTTGATATAACCTACATCAGGGGTCGGCAACCCGGGGCTCCGGAGCCCCTTCTGGCTCTTTAGCCCCCCTTGTGGCTCCTTGGAGCTTTTTCAAATATTTATGAAAATTATTAATTTTTTTTTTACTTTAACATGTGTGCAGGAGGTCAAACAAACATTCTTTATGTTTTCCAGTGCTGTAAACATTTTTTTACAATACATCAAACAATAAATGTAAACATTTCTTTCAATGAAAATTTGCGTCATAGCCAAAGAGATCAGTGGTCATAGTTTGTAACACATGTTTCAGCACATACGGTGCCAAGCAAACAAAGCTGCGGGTGTGTCTCGGACCATGGATCCCAAAGGGAAAAAAGGAAGATACCTGATGAGAACAGAGGATTCAAAGAAAAATGGACCAAATCATTTACTTTTATTATCAATGTGGAAGGATTACCTGCATTTTTGCTTTGCAATGACTGGTCAAAAAATAAAGAATCATTTGGAAAAACATTTCCAGGGAAGGCATGCTGCAGCCGACCACCAAGTTGGGAGTGAGAGAAAAAGTGTGATTGCAGAACTACTGGATAAATTACAGGAGAGCAAAGATAGATCTAAGAAGTGGATTGCATCTCCAAACTCTGCTACGACTGCTAGTTTCGTTACAAGCATGGAAAACCGTTCACAGATTGAACAGTTATGA